GCTCTCGTGAGCGCTGTGGTCCAAAATATCTGAAGCACCAGAAGAAGTTCACCACCTCCAGACTAGGCCTTTCTGAATGCAGAGGCTGAAAAGTTCATATTTGGATCACTCTCCCTCAAAGTAACTTTTCTGCAGTCTGGGATGAAATGCAACGATGATTTGCTGTCTTCATTTGTAGCAGAGCGCTGCACAATTTGAAATTATGGATGTATAGGAAGGGGACGACCGAGGATGAGATGGCTGGACAGTGTCTGCGAAGCAACCAACATGAAATTGACAGACCTCCGGGAGGCAGTGGAAGATAGGAGGGCCTGGTGTGCTCTGGTCCATGGGGTCACAAAGAGTCGGACACGACTAAACAACAAATAGGACATATAGGTAAAATTCAGTGTAGGCATCCTTCAGTCTCAAGAGACAAGGGTCACGTGCTCTGCATGGAGGACTTGGAACAGCGTCTAATGTGGCTGAGAAGGCCAATTCGAGAGTGACTATCCCTTCCACATGGAAGACAAATACAGTCTGTTCCCCATCCAGCTCCCTGATTTGACTGTTTTCGGGACTGCCTCTTTGCCTCAGCCTGCTGGACAAGGGTCTCTTCAAATTGGGAGAGGCTGTGATGCACCACCTAACTGCAGGCTGAATGTTCAGATGTCAGGGTTTCCCATCTGTTGAGGTCCATTCCTAAGGCCTTCAGATCCCACTAGCAGATCTCCTTGTATTGCAGCTGTGATCTCCCTCTGGAGCGATTTCTCTGCGCTCATTCTCCATCCAGGAGATCTTTTCAGAATACGACCATCAGGCCGTCAGATAAAATGAAAAACGATTCAAAATGTTAAGATAATTAGACAATTTGTGACCAGAAGCAGGCTACTTCAATAGCACTGTTTCCTGTGAGAGGGATACTCCAGCTGTGTTAAGAAAAGTTACAATCGCATTTGCCTTTTTTGCAGTGGTATTACACTGCTGGCTCATGGTGATTTGGTGACATGCTACAATCCCAAGATCACGTACATACAAATTCATTTTGCTTATTAATTTGATAGTTTCGGTTCTGCAGGGGTCACTAGGTAATAGGATTTTTACTTATGTGCTTCTGGGAGAAGATGATTCCATACAGACTGTGTTTTCACTAACACTAGAACTCAGCACTAGGCTGTGGAATAAGTAGTGGCCACCAGCCGAGACGGCTTCATGGTAGCTCTCACCAGCCTGAGTCCCACATCTTCTGAAATCCCCACCCATCCTAACCATTTGTCCGGCTGTTTGGGGCTGGTGGGAATATTTGTGCAAAGAGAAAGGGCCATCTTGAGAAAGGCTGCTCTGTGGAACCTCCAGGTTCAGACACAGCCTACCTGTGACTCTTATGGAGTGGAGTAGAGAAAGGCAGGGTACAACATATTTTAAAGAAAACGGGGGAGAGCGCTAAAATAGTTACTCAGAGGAAGAAATGGGAAACTTTTTGGGCTACCACTTCCAGTATCTCGCGATGAGATGGGTGTTGTAGTCCCCTTGCTCCCCCTTCCAAAAAAAAACCAAAAAAAAAACTTTCCACGTTCTGTTCAAATGCAGTGGTGCACTTAAGTCACCTTGGACTGGACCGGGAGGAGGAGAAAGGCAGGCTTGCCAAGTAATATGAAAACTCTTCCAGAGCATGGACAGAGTTCCTACTCCAGTCCTCTGAAGATGCCGGCCATAGAGACTGGCATGAGCCTGAAAAACCCACAACAACCATCTTCCAACCTCCTTGAATTTTGCTTTCCTCAAGGGGAAGCCCATTCATCTCCTAATGGCCAGGCCTCCATTACCGAAGGGATTATGCAAAGCACAGGGTCTAATTCACACAAACTTCCTTAGCTTCGTTTGGGTAACAAAGGCACCCACAGATTCCCCCACACTTCTGCATATTTTGTTCCTACTCTCAACCCCCCAACACAATGCCCACCAGCTCATTATCAGATCAAAGGGGAAAGAAGATTCCGTCTCTGCCACAGTGCCCTGGTGGTCTGTTGGACTACAACTCCCATGGTTCCCATACAGCAGAGTGGGGCTGTGCTCAAGGTCCTGTCTCTGAGATTCCCAGATATTGTTTCCCTGTTGGAAACATTACCAGAATTTGGAACAGTTACGGGCACTCCCAGAATCTCCCAGTATACAATCTCTGCAGAATTCAGAACCACTTGTTTTGTTTCATATATTTTTTTAAAACAGACTTGCTGCTTTGGGACTGCTTTCAACATATAATAGCAATAAGTTTAGAACTGCAGAACTGGGGGGGGGAGGATCCTTCGGATTATAGAGTATCAAGGAGGCAGAGCGAGGACTCGAATTCCCAACCCAGACCCAAATCCACTCAATAGTCCAAAACACATGCTCACACAGACATGTGGAACTTTTCTGAGCTGTGATTCAGGAGTAGGAAAAATGTGATCCTCCAGGAATCCAAATCCCATGAGCCCTGGCTTACAGTGAGGGCTGATGGGATTTAGAGTCCCATAACATCTGGAGACCCATGTGTCTGTCACCCCTCTGATGCATGCATACATACATACCCAGGCGCACAGAGAGACACTAACGCCGCGTGCAGAGAACTGAAACAAACACATCATTTCTCTTGACTCATCCTGTGCCTCCATTTGCCGTCTTTTCTCCTTCTCTTCCCCTTGCATTGGATTTTCTACTGTAAGCTGCTTGGGGCAGAGACCAATCTCTTTGTTCTTATTTTGTAAAAAAAAAAAAAATCACCCTGTTTGTTGAAAAAGGAGCCATACGTAAGCACAATAATAATGACGCTGAACATTGTAACTTAGGTCAGTCCGTTCAAACGAGGGGTGTGGGTGGGTCGGTTTGTTAAAATTCCGGAGAGCCGATGCAATGTCCTGGTTAGTGTGCCAGACCTGAGTTCAAATCTCTGCTTGGCCATGGAAACTCCCTGGGAAAGGCCGCCCATGGCGAAGCCAGTCCTTGAACATCTCAAGGACCTCGAAAACCCCATCGAGGTTCTTGAGATGGAAAGTGGACTAGACAGCATGAAACAACATTAAAATTAAACCATGCACATATTCCTTGGAATTCACTGCTCTCACATTTGCAGGAGATCCATGCATTGCTTTCAGGGGGAAAACTTAACAGTTTAGAAGAACATCAGGCATTTTATGACCTTTTATTGTGGCCCTAAGACAAGTCGGATGGTGGCCAGCTTGTGGGAAAATGTAGTCAGCTGTGATTCCCACTGCTATAAAAGTGGAGGTGTTAGATTTGGGCCAGGCGGGCACATCCCCCCCACACACCCCAAATACCCCAGACCCCCATAAACCAAGGGAAGACTGGGCCATTAGAAACCCTGGAATCAGAAGATGAGAATTTTCCCACAATCAAAGGAGGAGACCAGAGGCGCCAGCCACACCAGGCCATAAAGGTGGAGGTGGACCGATACCAGGGCTGAGCAAAAACCTTGCCGGTTTGCAAAGAGAGAGTCAATGGAAAATGTTTTATGCCATCTTCATTTTTTAAAAAAGATCTCCTAGGTCCTTTGATGAGTTTGACGGACAACAAGGTTTGGGGCCAAGAGATAGCCATTCATTTCACAGAACAGAGCCCACTTCTCGAATCCCTCCAGAAGCCCTCGAGTCGCTCCAGTGTGCTTAAGCTCGGCACAAGATGTGGTGGGAGCCCAACAGAACCTCCATATTCATCAGTAGTATACCTGCAATCCGGATCTCTTACCAAGAGAAAAACACGGAGGGGGAGAGGAGGTGCTACATTTACCCTCTGGCTTGTGAGCGTTATGGAGACCAACTGGTTTGGGTTCTGTGAGTAGAAGAAAACCTGAATAATGGAGTTTTGGTGTAATTAAGACTCTCTGATGCGGGAAAAGTGGGAGGGGGGAGGAATAACGATTGACATCCATCAAGCTAGGAGGTCCAACTGCTCTCCCACTGATCCATGTACTGTAGTATCAGCCGAGACGATGTCCATTTGGACCTGAAAACCTATGAGATGACCCCGGGCCCATCCCATTATCTCGGTCCAACTAACCAACCCTAAAGGGTTCTTGTAAAGATCAAGTGGAGGGTGGCAGAAGGGCCGTGAAGCCTTCGAAGGAAACGTGGGAGAGAAATGTAATAGAAAACACCGGGAAAACACCCGATGACTGCTGAAAACATCAGAGCACAA